CCTCCCCAACGGTTTAGGGTTTAGGGTGTAGGCTTGAAGTTTTGGGGCTTAGGGTGCAGGGTTTAGGGTTTAGGGTTTAGAGTTTAGGGTTTAAGTGCTACTAGTCCTCAACCCCCTCAATCGCAACAAAACCCTATGCAAGCAAAACCCTGGGAGGAACCCTAAACCCTAAACCCTAAACCCTAAACCCCTGAAAAACATGAAGCCCAAAGGGCCGAACTGATAAGGACCGGTTGTCTGCCCCTGTGGCTACCACGTGCCTATGATGGGGTCCTTATGTTGGGTTTAGGGTTTAGGGTTTAGGGTTTAGGGTTTAGGGTTGAGGGTTGAGGGTTGAGGGTTGAGGGTTGAGGGTTGAGGGTTGAGGGTTGAGGGTTGAGGGTTGAGGGTTTAGGGTTTAGGGTTTAGGGTTTAGGGTTTAGGGTTTAGGGTTTAGGGTTTAGGGTGGGAGGGGGGGGGACCCAAAACCGTAACCCAGAACAAGCCCCTGAAGCCCTGAAGCAAACACGCACCACATGAACCAGAAATCAAGATCAAGCGGTAAGGGCTTAGGGTTTACGGTCTAGGGTATAGGGTTTAGGGCTTAGGGTTTTGTGTTTAGGGTGAGTACCGGCAAAAGGGGGGCGGGAAGGGGCTGTTCGAATCAAGGGTTTTGGGTTGGGGTTTACTGGGTTTATATCGGGCCATATACGGTGTCCCCGCTGCCTCCCTCCCCCCACCCCCCCCCCACCCTCCCCGCCCCCCCAAATGCGGACCTGAATGTAAAGAACAAACACATGGGAAACTCAGGCCTTAGGGCCTCAATGTTAGGTGGACGGAGGCCGTCCGGGTCATCGTGAGACCAACTTGCACCAGCTTACTACTTGGAGGTTCATGGTACTTATTAACCAATTATGACCATATTAGGGCACTTAAGGGGCTTATAAGTGGGTTATAAGTATATAATTGGTTAAGAAGTACCATGAAACTCCAAGTAGGCTCAAAGGACTCTCAAGCCTCTTGCAGGGCGGTCGGGGTAGGGTTGCTGGGATGGCCATGAAAGGCCGCTGAAAAATATTCCCGAATATGATGAACCCGCTGGAGCAACCTTGAACCCCAGCGAGGGTTTAGGGTTTAGGGTTTAGGGTTTAGGGTTTAGGGTTTAGGGTTTAAGGTTTAGGGTTTAGGGTTTAGAGTTTAGGGTTGAGGGTTTAGGGTTCAGGGTTTAGGGTTCAGGTTTCAGGGTATAGGATATAGGGTTTAGGGTTTAGGGTTTAGGGTTTAGGGTTTAGGGTTTAGGGTTTAGGGTTTAGGGTTTAGGGTTTAGGATTTAGGGTTTAGGGTTTAGGGTTTACGGTTTACGGTTTAAGGTTTAGCGTTTAGGGTTTAGGGATTGAGGGTTAAGGGTTTAGGGTTATCTGGCGTCCGCGTGACCTGCTTGACGACCGTGGAGAGGCCGGCCCACTGCTTCATGACCCTCTTCGCCAGCTGAGCGCCACGGGCCGCGCAAAGCGAAGCAGCTTGAGGGCTTTCTGGACCCGCACCAGATGCAATGACGGAGTGGACCCGGCCAACAAACAATGCGGTGTCTTCACCACACACCTGCTTCAGCGCGTCCCGAATGGACTGCGCGACCTCAACCCTCAACCCTAAACCCTCGACCCTAGACCCTAACCCCTAAACCCTAAACCCTAAACCACTTGGCAAGAAACCCAGGGCCCCCGGCGAGGGCTGGATGCGGCCACTCTCCTCACCACGGATGACGAACTCCAGCCCTGCAGAGCGCGTTGAGGATGTAGGATTTTAGGGCTTAGGGTTTCGGGTTTAGGGTTTAGGGTTTCGGGTTTAGGTTTTAGAGTTTAGGGTTTAGGGTTTAGGGTTTAGGGTTTTGGGTTAGGGTTCAGGGTGCGATCGCCCGAATCTCCCCCCAGAAGTGCTGAAATCGTTCGTGCAGCGCGTTCGTGCGCCAACAGGCTTAGTGTGAGTAAATCCTGAAGGGGCAGCGGATGGCTCGCCTAAAAGCCTTACTTGGAGGTTCATGGCACTCATTAACAAATTATAACTGTACTTTAAACCCACTTATGCTCCCCTTAAGTGCCCTACCATTGCTATAAGTACAGATATCCTAAACCCTTAACCCTCAACCCTAAACCCTTTGAAGTACAGTCATCATTCGTCAATAAGTACCACGAACCTCCAAGTACACTCCTACGACCTGGCCCTAAACCACGAAACCCTGAACCCTTTTATGCCCTTTACCCAGAAAACAAACCCCAAAAAGACTTTAAAAAAAAAAATCCTACACCCTAAGCCCTAAACCCTAAACCCTAAACACTAAACCCTAAACCCGAAACCCTAAACCCTAAGGCCTGGCCCTAAAACGCCCTTGGCACCGTAACAAAAACCACTAAGGCTTAACCCACAAACGCCCTTAACCCCCAAACCCAACAAACCTAAGGCCTAACCAACATCGCACCGCACTTAAAACCCCAAAACCCCAAAACCCAGAAACCCTAAAACCCAGAAACCCTCAAGCTCTGCAGGAACCTCTAACCCACACCACACCCTGAAAAGCCAAGAACCCTAGACCCTAAACCGTAAACCCAGAAAGCCCGAAAGTCCTCAGACCCTTCTTAAGCCCTGACAAGATCTCCAAGACCCTAAACCCCTGAAACCCCCAAAGCCACAAATGGACCCCCCAACCCCCATAAACCCTAAACCCCTCAACTTTCACGGTAACCCTAAACCCCCACACCCAAATAAGTAAACCCCTAAACCCTGAACCCCTGAAACCCTAAACCCCCTAAACCCCTGAAACCCGAACCATTGCACCCGAAACCCTAAACCCCTTAAACCCCAAGCGCCCCATGAATCCTAAAACCCCCTAACTTTGTTGTCCAGTATTCTAGGAGAACTAAAGGTTAACTTTTGGGATCCCGAGCCCTAAACCCTAAACCCCAAAGCCTAAACCCTAAATCCTACACCCCAAAAGAGGTTGAAGGTTGCCAACTCTACTTCTAAGCTAAAGCCCCAAACCCAGGGACTAAACCCTAAACCCTAAAAGCCCCCAAAGCCCCAGACCCTAAACCCAAACCCTAAAACACCGTGAACAAGCCCCCAAAACCAGGGACTAAACCCTAAAACCTAAACCCCCTAAAGCCCTACACCCTAACCACCAAAACCTCCTAGAAAGCCCTCGACTAAGCCCTAAACCCTAAAACCCCTAAAGCCCTAAACTCCTAAAGTCCTAAACCCTAAACCTAATCCCTAAGCCCTAAAGCCTAAAACCCCCCCTCAGCAAAAACCCCCAAACCCAGAGCCTAGGTCTGTCCGGCCGTCGATGTTCAGCACTCCCACGTCCTCCGCCCTCATGCCCAGAGAGGATCCAAGGTTTCGGGATCAGGGTTTAGGATGTTAGGCCGGCTGAGGGTTTAGGTTTTAGGGCTCTATTCCCCTTAGCAAGAAAGATGTTTTGTGATAGCAGAGCACGATTCGTAGTAGTCTAGGACAGTTGAGGACATTTCTGGAATCAGACATTGTTAGGATCCTTCAAAAATTGCAGGAACCTTCCCTACTTCAAGCGGAGGTAGGGCATTCGGGGAGGTACACCCTGAGGTAAGTACAGGATCCTGTAGCGTGGCAGGGCTTTCTAGATGCGGCTTAGGGTTTAGGGTTTGGGGTTTGGGGTTTGGGGTTTGGGGTTTGGGGTTTGGGGTTTGGGGTTCGGGGTTCGGGGTTCGGGGTTTGGGGTTTAGGGAACCACTGGCATCGTCAAGCCCAGACTCTGAAGCTTCGTCTTTCGAGGGCTATGGGCTCGGGGCCAATTCTATCAGATCCCGAAACCCTAAACCCTAAAACCCTACCACCCTAAATCCCTAAGACCCTAAAGTCCTAAAACCCTGAACCCTAAACCCTGAACCCTAAAACCCTAAACCCTAGAACCCTAAACCCTAAAACCCTAAACCCCCTAGGCGCCTGAGTCTCCCAAAGATCCCAGACCTTTGGCCCTACAGGCCTGGGTTAGGGTTTAGGGTCTAGGGTTTAGGGTTTAGGGTTTCGGGTTTCGGGTTTAGGGTTTGGGGTTTGGGATTTGGGGTTTGGGGGTTGGGGTTTGGGGCTTGGGGCTTGGGGCTTGGGGCTTGGGGCTTGGGGCTTGGGGCTTGGGGCTTGGGGCTTGGGGCTTGGGGCTTGGGGTTGGGGTTTGGGGTTGGGGTTTGGGGTTGGGGTTTGGGGTTTGAACCCCACAAATCCTGAACCTAAACCATCCTGAACCGTGAATTTTGAGCTTTGGGGCTTAGGGTGTGAGGTTGGAGACTTGGGGTGTGAGGTGTAGGGTTTAGGGTCTAGGATCTAGGGTCTAGTGTTTAGGGTTTAGGGTTTCGGGTTTAGGGTTTAGGGTTTAGGGTTTAGGGTTTAGGGTTTAGGGTTTAGGGTTTAGGGTTTAGGGCTGAGAAAGCCATGCTTGGAGGCGGGCCGCCGTTACCCTTCTAGAGACCCCTCCTCTACACCCCCCAAACCCAAAACCTAAACCCCCTAAACCCCCTAAACCCCCTAAACCCTCTAAACCCCCTAAACCTCCTAAACCCCCTAAACCCCCCCTAAACCCCCTAAACCCCCTAAACCCCAAGCTCCCTCCAGGTAGCCCACGGGTCGGGTAAGTCCGTGTCGATGTCGTCGACGAACTTTCGCAAGTAGATGCCACCGATTCCTGGGCCCGAAACGACTTTTGCAAGGTCCTTGAGGGAGGGTTCGGGTTTAGGGTTTAGGGCTTAGGTTTAAGGTTTAGGGTTTCGGGTTTCGGGTTTAGGGTTTAGGGGGCGGAGGATCTTTGGGAGGCTTGCGGAGGCGAAGGGCTCGCTAGGGAGTGTGCGGGAACCGTAGGTTGGATTCCTGGACCCAAACCTCCTGGTTCTTAGAAGGAAGGAATTCGGTACCCCATATCCCCCCTTCAAGGGATTCAAACCCTAAACCCTAAACCCTCATCTAAACCCTTGACCCTTGACCCTTGATAGCTTCAGCCCTCAGAGTGCAAGCTCGACCGTGTCCATGCGATTGGGGTTGGTGTTCAACCTCCGCATGATGCGGAAAGCATGACCATTGAGAGTCTTCATTTCCGGCAGCTTGTGTGCGCGAGCATACCGTCTTGCGGCTGCGAACACATCACGCTGGTTGGCCTTCTTGTTCTGCAAGAAACCTATCTTCAACAATGCATCACGCAGGCTTTGATACTTGGGTGCGATATGCCACTGGCCACTTCCCTGATCAGACAGAAAAGAATGCCTCAATTTCGCCTGGACAGCGGAGGCACAATCTCCGCATGAAGGCAATGCGCCCATCTTGCGCAAGCGGTGCTTGTTGTTAGTCTGATTGATGAAAACGAACATTGCTTCCGAAAGCTCGCTGTTAAGCTTCGCATCTAAATACCCCATTTTATGCAGGGCTTGTGCAACCAACTTCGGTGAGTCGTTCAAGAGAAATGGCCCACCTCCCTGAAAAACTTGACGGGCAAGTGAGCTGCCAAAGCGGCGGGCTAGTGTTTTTGTTTTGACCGAAGAAGAAGACCTGGGCAAGAAGAAGGCCATGGCTGCTTGTGGTCTTCTCCAGCCAGGAATGCCTCTGTGATGTTGGACTTTGCGACAAATGATCTCATGTAAGGCTTCCGTTGCGCATTGCTGTGGAAACACGGTGAGGGGTCCCAGTGTGTTTGTGAACCAGAACTTCGCAATCGCATGGATCAGGTACCGTCCTTCATCCCCCACGTAGCCTAGCTGCTTCAAAAAGTCCTTGACAAGCAACGACTGCTCTTGTCCATGATAGGCCTGGCGTGCCTCTGCCAGGACCACCTGTCCTTTGCCATTCTCGTCCAGAATGGCTCTAACCCTTGGGCGAGTGTCTCTGTCGGGTGGCACCTTTATGACTGGAAGCCCCATCTCTTCAAAGTTGTGGATTACATAAAACTTCTTCTCTGGGCAGACTGCTACAACTGCCTTACCCAACATCAGCGCCTGCCGCATCACATCCGCATACCCAAAGTCCGAGACCAACAGCGCAATACGCACTGCGAAGCAGGAGTGTGACAGCGTGCGCACTCGAGCCTGAATGGCTATGTCTGTAGCTTCTCCTCTGTGGCTCGACAAGCGCTCCACGGGCTGGAAGGAGATGTTTGGCTTCTCTGAAAGCTCTTGCCAGTGCCGGTTCTGCAGTAGCCCAGGCCACGCGAAAATTGTGCTGCGCACAGCACTGCCCTCGTGCTCCAGTAGCTTGATTGCAGATCTGATTTCAGGAATGCCGTGCGTATCAGCATCAATCAGCAGCTCTGTGTCGACTCCCTGCCCGTGCACTAAGCAGCTGGCACGGTCACGCCTTTTCTGCTTGAGTCTCTTCACCTTGTGTGAACCGAATCGTAAACTTCCTCAACATTATTCTACCAATGATATCTACCCTGAACACTATGCCAGGAAGCCACGAAGCCCATCCTAAGCCCCTCCGCAGCTCTGCTTGTGCCTCACTGAAGCCATGGCGCACGACGACGCGCGCGAAGACTGCACGCAGCAGGCACACACCACGCACCCAGCAGCTGCGCGACGCCTGAGGCCCGCCCAGAGCATCCCCACTTTGTGACTGACCGGGGCCCTGCAGAGATGGGTACGCCAGGCAGCGTGCGAGCTCGCCAGAGCTCTGGCAGCATGGTGAAAGCATGTGCGTCAATCGTCCAAGCAGCAGCCATCATGAAGACGGTGTTCTCAAAAGTCTAGCCGCTGTAGCCCTAACCCTAAACCCTAAACCCAGTAGTTGCTAAACACTGCAAACCCTAGCGCAAAACCCTGAGACTTCGAAACCCGAACATTCTCAAGCCTCATCCCGTGACAGCCTTACCAGCCGAAACCCAAAACTCTCCCAAAGCTCCTGGTTTAGGGGTTTAGGGTGTAGGGTTTAGATGCTCAGGATTTAGGGTTTAGGGTTGAGGGTAACCCTAAAACACTGAAGTCCAAAAGCTGGGAGCCAAGAAGATGGCCGCTCGCTTCCCTAGTTAGGCTTTAGGGCTTACGGCCGGTTAAGGGTTTACACCCTTAGATTAGGGTTTGGGGTTTGGGGTTTGGGGTTTGGGGTTTGGGGTTTAGGGTTTAGGGTTTAGGGTTTAGGGTTTAGGGTTTAGGGTTTAGGGTTTAGGGTTGAGGGTTTAGGGTTCAGGGTTGTTGGCTGAGGGCTCTGGGCTCGACATGCGTGCAAGGCCGATTTCTGAGGTCGGTGCCCCCCTGGTACCAGCGCATGTCGGTGCTCTCGTTCTGGCACGTGGGCAGGAGTTGGGCAGCCAACAACCCCAAGCCCTCAGCCTTAACCCAGCATTCACGTTTTAGAGTTTCGGCATCTTATGTCTACAATGGATTACATTTATAAACTCAAAGGGAATACATTAATAAATTACTGCTGAAACATCCTTAGCTCCTCTCCATGGTACTGCTCTGATTGCAGTTTGTGCGGCTACACGTAAGCTGGGGTCGAGGGTTAGGGGCGTAGGGGTTTCGCTTGGGGCTTCGAGTTTAGGGTTTAGGGTTTCGGGTTTAGAGCTTAGGGTGTAGGGTGTAGGGTGCAGGCTGCCCCCGCCCTTACCGACTTTGCCATACAGAAATGGGAAAACACCCCAACCCTGAATCCTTGACCCCCAACCCTCACTCACTCAGCCCCAAACTCTGAACCCTGAACCCCCAGCCCTCAACCTTTTGGGCCGAGGGTTTGGGGTTTAGGGCCCAACCACTGGCCAGCAAAGCCCCTCGATCTGCTGAGCGCTGGATGGGCTTGTCCGGATTGGCATAGCCGACGTCCACGACGCCCTGAGGCTCGCGTGGCTCCGCTTAGAGTCAGCCCCCAGGCTTAGGGGCATAGGGGTTTAGGCTTTAGGCTTGAGAGTTGAGGGTTTAAGGGTTGAAGGCTTAAGGTTTAGGGTTGAGGGTTTAGGGGTTTAATTTGAGGTTTAGGGGCAGAGTGTGTGGCATTTGGACTTTAGGGCGTGAGGCTCGCGTGGCTCCACTTGAGTCAGCCCCTGAGCGCTTAGCGGGGCCAGGGGCTTGGGGTTTAGGTTAAATGGGTTGGTGGTCTCTTTAAGTAGGGTTTATGCTTTATAAGGGCATATATTGGGGTTCTTATTATAGTGTATCTAGGGAATATATTCAGGTCACAGGGTAACAGATAAAGAGGCCACCAGCCTTTATATGGCTTTGGGCTTAAGGGGTTTAAGGTAGCGTTTAGGGTTTAGGGCTTAGGGCTTAGGGTTTAGGGTTTAGGGTTTAGGGTTTAGGGTTTAGGGTTTAGGGTTTAGGGTTTAGGGTTTAGGGTTTAGGGTTTAGGGTTTAGGGTTTAGGGTTTAGGGTTTGGGGTTTGGGGTTTGGGGTTGAGGGTTTAGGGTTTGGGGGTTTAGGGTTTAGGGTTTAGGGTTTAGGGTTTAGGGTTTAGGGTTTAGGGTTTAGGGTTTAGGGTTTAGGGTTTAGAGTCTCTGACGCAAGTGGAGAGCAAGGCGCCTCTGGCTTGATCTTGATGTCATCCAGCCTCACTTCAGGTTTAGGGCTTAGGGCTTAGGGCTTAGGGCTTCGGGTTTAGGGTTTAGGGTTTAGGGCTTAGGGTTTAGGGATTAGGGGTTAGGGGTTCGGGTTTAGGGATCAGAACTTGGGGCTGCGCATTTGGGGTTCAGGGCTTTGGCGGTGTACTTAAAGGATCAGGGGACTTAGTAAGTGGGGCTTCTGAAGTAAGGTAAGTATACTTACAAGTGCTTGTAACCCCAACTAAGGTACTTATAACCCGACTCTAAGTGCCCCGATCCTCCGAGTATTGGGACTGTACATGGCTTTGTTCGCACACCTCTAAGAATATCTCACCATACCCCAAACCCATACCCCTTAACCTATGAAAGTATAATATAAAGGGAGTCTAAGGGAGGATTTTGCCATACCCCTGAATTGCTTTTAAGGGGTATGCCCTAGGGCCCTAGGGGCATGTTGAATATTTCTTAGAAAGCCAGGCCATGCGCGGCCTGGACGTAAGAACTGACTGGCACTCTGGGAATTCCATGCACTACATGACCCTGAACCCTTAACCCCTTGAAGGAGGGACGCAGAGGAGGGGGGGGGGGGGCAGAAGGTACCCAAACCCTAAACCCTAAACCCTAAACCCTAAACCCTAAACCCTAAACCCTAAACCAAGAAGGATGTCGACCCAGCCTGGGTTGCTTCGGCGTTACCCCCACCACTGCAGTGTTCCAGACTTCTTAAGGGAGGAGGGGGTTTCGTGGGAGGGTTTAGGGTTTGGGGTTTAGTGTTTACGGTCTAGGGTTTAGGGTTTGGGGTTTGGGGTTTAGGGTTTAGGGTTTGGGGTTTGGGGTTTGGGGTTTAGGGTTTAGGGTTTAGACTTTTTTGTTGAGGGTGTAGGGTTTAGGGTTTAAGCTTTAGGGTTTAGGGTCTATGGTTTAGGGTTTAGGGTTCAGGGTTTAGGGTTTAGGGTTTAGGGTTGAGGGTTTTCTTCTAGGGTTTAGGGTTTAGGGTTTAGGGTTGAGGGCTTAGGGCTTAGGGCTTAGGGTTTAGGGTTTAGGGTTTAGGGTTTAGGGTTTAGGGTTTAGGGTTTAGGGTTTAGGGTTTAGGGTTTAGGTTTAGGGTTTAGGGTTTATGGGGGGGGGGGGGGTAGGTATTTGGGGAACCTTCGGGAAGCTTAGGGAGCCTTCGCGGGAGTAGTGGGGACTACTAGGAAACCTTGAGCTACTCTGAACCCTAGACCCTAGACCCTAAACCCTAAACCCTACACCCTAAACCCTCCTTCAACCTTCTAACACTGGGGACGCCGGCGCGACCAGCTCGATGAGGTGCTCGGGCAAGTCGGCATAGCCTGTCGGTTTAGGGTTTAGGGTTCAGCGTTTAGGGTTTAGGGTTTAGGGTTTCGGGTTTTGGGTTTTGGGTTCAGGGTTTTGGGTTTAGGGTTTAGGGTCTAGCTCTATTAAGGGGGGCTTAGGGTGTAGGTATGAAGCTTAGGCAGGCTGAGGCCTAGATCCTCTTTGCTTAGGGTTTAGGGTTTAGGGTTTAGGGTTTAGGGCTTAGGGCTTAGGGCTTAGGGCTTAGGGCTTAGGGCTTAGGGCTTAGGGCTTAGGGCTTAGGGCTTAGGGCTAAGGGCTTAGGGTTTAGGTTTAGGGTTTAGGGTTTAGGGTTTAGGGTTTAGGTTTAGGGTTTAGGGTTTAGGGTTTAGGGTTTAGGGTTTAGGGTTTAGGGTTTAGGGTTTAGGGTTTAGGGTTTAGGGTTTAGGGTTTAGGGTTTAGGGTTTAGGGTTTAGGGTTTAGGGTTTAGGGTTTAGGGTTTAGGGTTTAGGGTTTAGCATATCCTCCACAGAATACAGAGAACCGACCTCCTCTTTCGTCTTGAAGTAGGACTCGAACATCGGAAGCACTTCTCTTCCCTTTGAGGCTTCGGCCTCGTTCAGGATCCGCCGAAGATCAAGGTCTGTAGGTCCACGTCCTGGTTGGGAGGAGCGCGTCAATTCCGCTTTTGCTACTCGGGACAGGGCTGGTGGATCCACGCGAGGAAGACGCATGCCGCAGCTGCGCTTCAGTGCCGCCCCGCGCGGCAGAAGAACAAGAGCGTGCCAACGTTCTGCCAAGATCTTAGTGTCAAGGGTGACGAACTTCCCCACCTCGCGAAGACTCTCCAACGAAGTGCCTGGTTTAGGGTTTAGGGTTTAGGGTTTAGGGTTTAGGGTTTAGGGTTTAGGGTTTAGGGTTTAGGGTGTAGGGTGTAGGGTTTAGGGTTTAGGGCTTAGGGCTTAGGGTTTAGGGTTTAGGGTTTAGGGTTTAGGGTTTAGGGCTTAAAGGGTTTAGGGTTTAGACAGGTCTGGGCTCACTGAAAGTCATGGGAACTCTCTAAAGCCCTTCAGCAAGCCACGCAAGGAAGCGAACAGCACAGCAGAAACTGGTTTGGGGCTTAGGGTTGGGATGCTCCCCCATGGCAAAAGTCCTTACAAGGGATTCTAGTAGCCCCTATCATCATCCCGTACTCCCTATTAACAACTGTTCGTATAAGGGGGAGAATCCCAACCTCGACCCCAAACAGAAAACAGAAAACAGAAACAGCTGCGTGTTGGAACATTCCTGAAGGCTTAGGGTAATTACCAAAAAGGGATGCCCGAATGATGTCCCCGCATGACATATCAACGGTGAGGTTTAAACTTTAGGGCTTAGGGTACAAAAGGTTTAGGGGTTCGGGAGACAGGAACGACGCAGAGCGTCTGCGGGCGTGATTCAAACACAACCTACGGCTTAGAGCTTAGATCGGGTTTGCAGGGCTTGTAGGGTCCGACATCCTCCACGTCCCCTACATTCGGTAGGATCAATTCTCTAACAGCAGCTAAGGCTGTTAAACCTACAAACCCTAAACCCTAAACCCTGAACCCTAAACCGTAAACCCTAAAAACTAAACCCTAACCCTAAACCCTAACCCTTACCCTAAACCCTAAACCCTAAACCCTGGCGTTCTCGAGCCTAAAACCCCGAAACCCTTGCAGCCTTGTAGGCTCATGATGACCTGCAGCTTCACGTTCATCACCTCTGCGGACAGCGGGTCCCTCAGGCCCCTTACAGGAGCTCATCAGGGTTTAGGGTTTAGGGTTTAGGGTTTAGGGTTGAGGGTTGAGGGTTGAGGGTTGAGGGTTGAGGGTTTAGGGTTCAGGGTTTAGGGTTCAGGGTTTAGGGTTTAGGGTTTA